TCTTTATAATAAATACCCAAATTCAAAATTAATTTGTCAACATTACAAATATCCACTTGGGATCATGTTGTATATGGTAGTCCTTTCAAACATCCTCTCCCTGCAGATCTTACCCTGTCCCTCTCCTGGCCTTGCTACTTCAGTGATGTGGTTCTTTCCCCACCGGGCAAGCCATACCCTCAGTCACATTGGTAATGTGGACTTGCCTGGTCCGAGATTTACATTGATCAATAATGGAACTGTATTTTAACCATTTTTACATTTTAATAAGGTTTCCTTTTGGCATAGCCCACAGATTGTGTGAACTATCTAATATACTTTGTTTATTTATGCTTTACATATAATTAAGGTAAGCCATCGCCTGTACTTGGTATATTTTTATGTCTATTTATATTAATATTGTCAATAATGATTAATCTTATTATGTTTCATTAAAATCTTTGTGTTTAGATCTATTGTGATTGTTAATTCTTGTTTTATAATTTTATACAAATTTTATAAATTTTAATGTAACAAACTATGTATATATCAGTTAAACAGAATCTTGAAAATGAGACTGGAAGAGGCCTTGAAATGTTGATTAACAAAGTTTTATCATTAAATATGAAAATAAAAAAACAACTACCAATAAATAAATCCTGGACCTTTCTCCCAACACTATAAGTAAATCAGGCAGTCCAGGAAACAAACATGAAATATGCAGACTTCTCAAAAGTCCATAAATTATATTTAAAAAAATGCTATGATGTATTGCGATTTTCTCTCTCGATTATGGTTGTTTGGTCTCAAGTGTGAGGATGAGTTCAATGATGTATATGCTGGTGCTTTACTTCCAAATTTCAGAGTTTGAAATTTGTTCACCTATGAAGGATTTGTATGATGAACATTGCTTTTTACAAGTGAATGCAGCAAGTGTTTATGTTTAATGAGTTTCACATTTATTCTCAATATCCTTTTTTTCCAAATCTCACATTACCAGTTACTTATTACTAGTATAATAGCTAAATGGTATTATCGATAATTGTAACTGCAAGAAAATAGCATTTTTGTATTGTTAACTTATGCACAAGTTAGTTGTTTTATGTATGTCAATCACATTTGTTATGCATTTTATTTTTCTTCAAACTTTGTGCTACAAAATTTCAATAATTTTTGTAACACTTGTTTATTTTGTAAACTATTTGCAGGAGCCAAAGACTAGTACATTGTGAATTATCATACTTAAGATCTGATTAGCTAGATTATCTTTCAAATATCCAGCACCATTCAGTAATTGTATTTGGCGGTATCTCTGAAATTCGAATTTGGCGGGTTTTGTGACTGGCGAGGCGCCACCATCGTACGACAGTGAAGCGCTCTACAGGTATTCGCAAGAACGTAGAAGCTGTGCATCTTTATGTTCATCTGGTACCACTATAGTCCACTATGTTACTATCGTATCTATGTTACCACTAGGTTAGTTTTTGTTTTGATTTTACAACAGCGACTGAATGTAAACATTCTTCAACTTCGTCTGCGGATGAAGGAGAATGAGCTAAAATGCATTTAGTGATACGATTCGTTCACGTGTGAGTAGGGTCGTCCAGAAGGGAGGGCAGCTAGGGCAAGTTGCATCAGGCTCCTCTTAATCGGGACCTCCCATTTTTTTTCTTTCTAAAGATTTTTTTTTCTCTGTTTAACTCTGTAAGAGATTTCTGATGCATAGAGAAATAAATTCTGCATATATGAATTGGGGAAGGAGGGATTTTTTTATGAAATGACGGGCCCCCTAGGATCAATTGCTCCACTTTTCTCTGGACGCCCCTGAGTGTACATGGAGGAACAATCTTATGGGGCAAACAGGAGGTGAGAAAATGAAGGCTTTCAGGGAAAGTATCAAGAACACAGAATGTCAAATTGATTTGAAGGTCGCATAAAACGCGTTTCTTTTTGTTTTCTTCGCATAAAACGTTGGTAATTATACTCTGGATAGACCATGGGTTCCTGGAGGTGGGGATCATGGAAAGACTGAACGGGGCCAAAGGCACTCCAGGATATTAACGAAAGAGCCGAGAGCCCGAGTCCCGTCCTCAATTTCGAACAGGGTAGCGAAGCGTCACTTTTAGCGAGAAAGTAATCTTGTACACCATCATTCTGTTATTTTTGGTTGGTTGCCGTGTTGGTCTGGTGTTGCGCAGAATGAGCAAAAATCGGTGCGCCAGAGGAACTCACCCGTGTATGGGATGATCAGTGGTGATCAGGTTCAAAATAGAGCTCCGCAATTGGCGAAAACAACCGCTCGAGACTCCCGAGGACGCTCGGTGGAAGGGGGACGGTGGGGGTGGGGGGCGAAGATGGCTGTTAAACGGACATTTCGACCGGCCGTCTTTCGTTTCCCGATCATCTGCAGAACAGTTGAGCAGCGCTCGACACCCTTGGACGACCGGTAGCTCCGCCGCTCAACCCCTGTACGGGATTTTATGTTGCCGCGCATAGTAATCACCGAATTCATTCAATTAATTGTAATTAATTAATTATTATCGAAGGAGGATACAATTTCAATTAAACGATTAATTTTTGAGAAGTAACAATTTATAGATCAATTGGAAATAATTTTAGAGACAAAACAATACAATATAAGAATTAAAGACAAAGGAAGAGTCTGAAAAAAAAATTAAAATTAACTTTTTGGAAATACAAATTTGGAAGGGAAAGGTAATATATTTCTTTGTACTTGTATTTAAATTTAGCAGAACATTTGTATTTACACCATATAAAATAAGATAAAATTAATGATTTTATAACATTCTTGGACCTAAATGCCTAATATTCAGATTAAAAATAAGCTTAAATTGACCAAAAAAAATAATGTTCTAATTAAATTGACAGAAAAATTAATGTTCTAATTGCTTTTAATGTTAATAATTGGCATATGAATGAGATCTAAAATGTAATTTTTTGAACACAGAGCCTTCTTTCCCTTCCATTATTTTTCCTGAACGTACATCTGGGACGGTGAGATATCAGTGTCGGAAGTCGAGGTTATCGACTTGCCCCGTAGGAAGCGAGTGATATGTTGGCATCGCAAATCCGATCCACCGCGCGCACCGCTTCTTTTCCTGGAGTGAAGAAGAAAGAAAAACAAGCCAGCTCTTGACCTTTAAATATAGAGAATACGAAATTCAAATACAAATAACATCCTCTATGTTGAACTAGACAAAAAATAGAGATTTGATATCGACTAGCATTAGCAAACGTGAACATTACGTAAATACACATTTTTAACCAAGACAAGAATAAAATATTAAATAATTTCAAGAAAAAAGGTTTTAAGACATTTACAAATGTTTACAAATATATATATATATATATATATATATATATATACATACATACATACATACATACATACATACATACACACATACACACACACACACACACACACACACACACACACACACACACAGACCTGCTGTTGACCTGTAATTTTGTATACCTGTTATTGACCTGCAGGTCGGATAGTGGCTGATGGTTTCAAGTGGATCAATGGATCAACTGTCGGGAAGTACGCTTAATGCCCTTTCGCGTAATGCTACCTAGAGGAAAAGAGCAGGTAACCGTCGTGGCCACGAGTTCAAAGAGAAAAATGCAAAGCGCTTGCTTGTTTGGCGTCGAAAAAAAATTGAATTGACAAGAACAGTGATTCCTTCGTTAATTGTTTTATAGTGAAACACGCTTGCAATGTAAAATATACTTTCAGGTAGATGATTTAATGACAAACTTTGCTTGCTTTAGTTTCACAAAGAATATGCGCCAGAAATTTACGGATGTTTTATTCTGGCAATTTTATGTATGAATTAATAAATTATTAATTCCAGATCCACAGAAAAAATGTTTGTTATTATTATTATTATTATTATTATTATTATTATTATTATTATTATTATTATTAAATAATGATTCTTTTAAAATAAAAGTAATTTTCAAAGAGTGGGCTCAGTAGTCACTGCATTACAATCATTCGTGAAACTGTCAGGGAAAAATAGTCATTGGTGAACGGTACATCACGGCCTTGCTCTTCATCCTATTTATTTAACCTTAACGGTAAAGGTTTGTGAATATCCTGCAACAAAAGTATGAAAGCTAGTGTAGCAATCAATAAAGTAGAAAAATAAATTATTTATTATGAATGATGAAAAGGAAATTGTGAATTAAATATTGGTGTCAGAAACAAGCAAAGTTTACAAAAAATGTTCTAAATACCTTCCGGTTTGTAATTAACAAGCATTGATTCGCTTGAGAACATTTGCTGCAACCCGATGTTACGTTCGTTCGTAGATCATGCGAATCGCTTCCTCAATGCTTCTTTGGAGCTCTTCGAGATTAGCAGGTTTGTTTGCATAAATTTTACTCTTGAGGCATCCACAAATATAAAAAAAAGTGGTGGTGGAAAATCAGGCGAACGAGGGAGCCACAAACCTCGTGAAACTATTCGCCTCCCAAAAAGTTCTTGCAGAAATTGAATTGTCGACAGTATGTGATGTCGCCCTACCCTGCAGAAACCAACAATTTCTTTCATTATATCCTAGAAGGGATATAAAATTTATCAATATATTCTTATAAGTATACGTTATAAGTATACGCTGTTTCTTTCAAAAAAACAACGGACCAATTATTCTGCGACGAGAAATGGCACACTATACTCTAATCTTTTTTTAATGCAATTAAATGCAATAGTTTCTCTACTGTTTCCTGTGGTCTTTCAGTAGCCCATAGTCTACTGTTTTGCTGGTCAACGTATCCATTCAGATGAAACCGAGCATCATTACTAAAAAATATGTTATGAAGTCCCTCAAGACAGCTAACGAATCGTCGTAGCCAATTACAATAATTCATGCGAGCAGGCCTATCAGAAACCTTAATGTGCTTGGCGCACTTTGAATGATTGCATTCGGAAATTGTCATACAAATCTGCGTTGCTCTATGCTGAGTCTCATCGTAAGTTAACTTCAAAACCGAATGAAGACGCCGTTTGTTTTGCTTTGACGTATGTATAGGTTTGCAGGTATGAGAAGGGGTGGTGAATGAAGTGTCGCAGAAATAGAACTGTCTCAGAAGCAGTGTTGCAATGCTTTCACTTTTCTCTCGGTGTCTAGAACAGCAGGGTTGCGTTTTAAACTAATCATCCGGTATTTCCACTATGGTCGCGCACACTGTGGCCGTGTCGCGAGTGACTTCTCGGAATCGACAGCGCGCGTGAACGAATCATATCACAAACTATTTCTACTGTAGAATGGACTGTATTAATTTACCCAATTATTTTAGTTTTGTATATTACTTACATTCTGTACTCTAAGCTAGATTGAAAGGAAGGTATATTTAATTTTGACAGAATTACTACACAATTTTAAAAGAACGTTGAAGCATTACTTTTAACATTAATTCAATTCTCATATTTTTTCATTCAATACTATTATGTTGGAGCAAGTACACTTGTAACTACAGTAGATTCAACATGAAAGGTCAATGTATAGAGATCTGAAATTCCATGAAACATCGTGAGATGCTGTTTTTATTCTCTGAAAGATTGTCAGCAGCGCGCATGGTCGCTTCTGTTTGATAGACGATTTTTACACGGGAGAGTGGTGGTTGGTTGAAGTAGGGAAAAGCGCGATAGGAAGTGAAACTCCTGATCTACTTCGTGACAGCTACAGCGACAGGTATGCATATTAGGCTGTGAGGTGAAGAATGCGGCCGATCTGTTAAAGTTTGCGATACTCGCTGTTTTTCTTTCTTTTCACGATTTCGTAGAGGTTGATAGAAATTTTTGACACCCTTTCTTAGTGACGATTGTACATATTTTATATTGGCCTCGTGTTTTAGAGTTTATGGAGAAAGTGATAGAAACCGAGGGAGTTACAGAAGTTTTATAGTTAGTTTTAGTAACGGGTGATCAGTGACAGGTACTTAATAAGTTAACCTTATTTTCTGTGAATGTAATATATGTCTATGTACTGGCAGTTAATTTAGGTTTCCGATACATAAGTAGTGCAATTTTAAAAATATTCTTTGGTATGATTGTATTGAATTAATAATTGGAATGGGGTTACCTGGTGAATTTGCAATCAGTGCAGCTAGAATGCCAATTGTACAAACTTTATTGTTCATTTACAATGTTTCATGGACAAATGTTCTCAAGTAAAAGTGTTCTAGTGATAAAACAAACGATTAATTTAGGGTAAATTGTAGTTTTAAATTACTAAGAGTTGTATTGTAGTGATAACACTAAATCTCTTAAGGTCTGGTTCACCTAAAGTGATAAGCATAACTATCCTTGTTCTGACAGGAGGCCCCTGCCCTTTTAGAGATTCAATAGGCTTATTTCATCATCAGCATAGTTGTAAAATATTGTTTATACATAATGAATTTAAATAATATCAATGTGAACAGTATTGTAAATTTGACAACTGTTTGAAAGAAAGAGGTTTCCTTAACCCAAAGAAATTATAAAGTATTACACCAGGAAACCCCATCTCAATTATAAATGTAATTTTAGCCCACAAATCTTTAATGAAATCCCGGCAAATTGTTTTCTTTTCTGTTGGCCTAAATTATGAATTGAAGTTTAGAATCTAGTTTGTATTCAAACAGTCAACTTCTGAATGAAATTTTTTTATTTATTTACAAATGGCCTGTGGCTAATTTAAATATTAATATCACATCTATCGCAGCAGCCTAAGTGCATAGTTTTTAGTTATTAACTATATAATTTATAACAATGATTCTCTAACAGTTCTTCAAATAAAAAAGTCAATATTATCAAAATAATGATCCTTTAACATTACAAAATATTATAGTACTAATTTTCCTTTTCAATACTTTCCAAACAAACCCTTCTCTACATTCCCAGACTGACCCAGATTCCTTTATTCTTTGTGACAACTCGTTATACATTACCAGTCCTCGATTAAATATTGTTTCATGACCTTTGTCTCGATGTTGGAGCTTGACCTGAGGGTGTATAGGGTGTAGCAAGATTTGCTGAGCTTCTTGTTGAGATTTGAGATGTGAGTGTTCCATTTTAGGTTTTCTTGAATTGTTAGTCCAAGAAGGTAGTTTCATTGGATATTGTTACAGGGTATTGTTTATGAGGCCAAATGGCTGTGAGAGTTTTTCTTTAATAAAGGATTCATTGAAAATTAGAGAGACTGTCTTGCTGGTGTTTATGATGATTTTGTTGTCTTGAAACCAGTTTTATAGTGCTTGCAAAGTTTTGTGAGTTTCTTTTTCTAATGATTGTTGTGTTTGCTTTGATATGTTTGTGTCAGTCTGCAAACAAAATTATTTTGTGGTTGCCTTAAAGACCAAAGGCATTCATATGTATATAAGAATAGAATTGGCCAAGATGGATCCCTTTGCAGACTCCACAATTGAATTATTTGAGAGCAGGAATAATATGAGATTTTGTTTTTTAGTGGTGAGGGCGGCAACTATTGGCTACGGTTTGATAAATATGATTTGAATCCATTGGCCTGCAATGCCTCGAATCCCTAGAATTTCTAGTTTTCTTAAAAGTGTATGATGATCAATGCATGCCAAAGGCTTTTGACAAATCTAAGAAAAACCAATGTGAATTTCCTTCTATTTAGTGCAAACAAGTGTGGTCATTTAAATAGCGAGAAGATTGGCTGTGTCTTGGAATCTATTACTCCTGAAGGCAATGTTGTGCATTGTAAGCGACATTATTTGCATTGAGAAACTGTTTGGTCTTAGCATTGAAAAGCCTTTCCAGAAATTCTTTTGAAAATCCTGATAACAGGAAATAGCCTGTAGTTCATTGGTCATAACTATTAACCATTTTTAAAAACAATGCGTTAATTTTTGCTGTTCTTGAAGTATGTCTGGAATATGCCTGATTTTAGAGAGTAATTGCAATGTGAGAGAGTGGTCGCACTATACATGGAGCCACTGTGTGTTAATAAGAAAATCTGGAATTTTGTCCATGCCTGCTGAGATTTATTCTCCATTTTCCAATGAGTTTTAAAAATTTCAGAGGGTGTTCATATAAGAATATGGAAAGTTACAATTTGTGAAATATTAGTGTTTGTTGTGGGTTTTATTGTTTAGAGAGTGTTGAGAGATTAACTTATTACTAATTTGTGAAAAGTGTTCATTGAATATGTCAGCCATTTCTTGTGGGTCTTGTACAGTTTCATTTTTGTAGTGGAGCTCTATATTTTTTCTGTTATTATTAGTTGGTGCAGTAGTCTTTTTAATGATGTCCTACATAGCTTTTGTTTTATTACGTGCATTTGCAATGTACTTATCATTTGTTATTATTTTTGCTTGTTTGATTACTTTTTTTAGGATCGAATTATATGTTTTGTAATATGAATTGAAGTTTGAGTTACATTTGTTATTTGTTAGTATTTTATACGTGTTGCATTTTCTTTCACATGACACTTTGATGTCTGTGGTAATCCACGATTTAGTTTTCGGATCTTTTTCAGTTTTTGAGGGAAAATGGCTTTTGAAATGTCTTAAGTATATATTTATGAATGAGTTAAACTTAACATTACAAAGAAAAGTATAAATGTAATAATTTGTCATTGAATGCTTAGAGCATTTGGGCATTTCCATGTAATTCACTAACTTGCACTGAGCTTCGTGGAATTTCCAGTTTTAGTCAATTCTGAAGCAATCAGCTTGTGGCATGGATTTCTTTGGGGAGGGAGGTCAAAGTAGTACCACATGGACAAAGTCTCTTGTTTTTACAGTAAACAAGTTGACTCTTATGCAGTTTAATGTTTATTACAGATTAAAGACATAAGATTTTCATTTTTTCCCCCCATTCAGAATCAAAATGCCCAAGAAGAAGAAGACTCCAAAGAATTCCTTTTACTTTTTTATGAAAGATTTTAAAGAAGAGCAAGAGCAAATGGGATATGTGTTCAAAAATGGATTACAGGAAGTAGCTGTAATGGCAGATCCTGAGTGGAAAGTAAGTGAAAGCTTTTTTTAGCCATTTTTGATGTGGACTGTTAATCATTACTGAATTGCAAAATCTTCTATCAGACACTGGTATTTAATAAATTCAATTTTGTTCTTAACATCATAGTCAATGATTTTTTTTGACATTTAACAAAACCCATCTAATACCATAGATTCCATTTATATTACTATTTTTAGTAAACACATACTTTTATCACGTATTGTTAAACTTAAAAGTACCACATCGCAAATATCTCTGCACTCCATTTGTTTGTACATCTGCTAAGTTCTTTTATAGTGGTACATGGTGTAGTGACTGTCTCCATTTGTTGTATTTACTGTGGTGGTGACTACTCTGTGGAATTAGCTTTACTTTCTATTTGTTCTAGTTTTAATAGTAAATTAGCTGCCCAGTGTGTAAAGATTACGCCTTCATATCTAATTGAATCTATAAGGAATCGTTAGCCACTATTGGAAGTAAATCATCAGTACTTAATAATATTCAGGTCCTCTACTAAAAACCATCAGATTTTTTTATTATTTTACTTAATTTAATTCCTTTTGTGAAGCAACATCACTTGTGTGTAGCAGCTAATAGGAACATAACCTTGCTTTCAACATGGACATGTGGTCATACGAGTTTATAATTTCCACACTTGACAAAGATCTTAAAGCCCTTCAGTTCATTGTATCCCTAGAGAATGAGAACAAGAGGCTGAAAGAGATTTGGCATGAACACAAAAACTACTGGACTTCAGGCGGTAACACAAACAAAATGTCCAGTTGGTGCCCATGTACACAATTTCGTCCTCCCAATTTCTCTTTTCAAAACTGTTTGCACCTCGAACCACCACACATACACAAAACCAGCATCCCTCACAATCCAAACGCCTCTCAGAATTTCATGTTACTCACAAAACTCAACAACAAAAAGTTAGCAATGTGAGCAACACACAGAAAACACACTCTGTCATAACTTAGGAAATTATACTTGCTGATGGCCATGGTAGGCACATATCCTCCATGCTAAAAGAGAAACTCATTTCTCATGAAGTCCTAGGGTTTTATTTTTTAACCCAATGTCAAATTGGCAGATGTGGCAAGGGAGAGTGACAGTTATTTATTTATTTATTTAATTTTATTTACTTATTCACGCCAATCGGCTTTGTACATATAGGTAACAATTATATACCACACTGTACAATCACATCCAATACACTATAACAATTTCTAAATACAACCAATCGATGCATATAATTAAATTAATTAAATTAAATTGAGATTATAAACCGTAAGTATCACATCATATCGTTGTGTTTACAATCTTCGTAATAAATATTTTAAACATAACACATTATCTGTTGTGTATAATTTTCTTTATCTGTATCGAGAATGATGATGTGGATCCCCCAAAGAAGTTTATGCTGGAACAATATTAATTTACTAGGTTCGCTATTCTATTTTTCGGACCATAATATACATAATTTTTAGTAGTCTTAATTGAATTCAGTAATCTATACGATGTCAAGCCAGGTTTTGAATAGACAAATTCAAATTGTTCTAATATTTCTTGGCATTCAATTTCGCAATTAATGATCTTAAAAAAATATATCAGATCTGCAATTTGTCTCCGCTTGGAAAGTGAGTGTATTTCAAATTGATCATAGACTTCATCAGTGTTCATGTCATGACCTCTGATGCTCATATAGTACTTGACGTATTTATAGAACTTCTTTTGAATATTTTCGATTCGATCCACAAGAATGTCGGTGTATGGTGACCAGATTGTTGAGCAATATTTCATTATTGGACTGACGAAAGTAAAATATAGGTATATTAACGTATAGACATTGTTAAATTCATTTTCAGATCTGAGTATAATTCCCAGCGTCTTGTATGCTTTACGTTATACGTCTGGATTCACAGCTAGGGACACAATAGTTGCAGTTAGTGGAGTCAGTGACGTTGATTAAGGTTACTCCGTGACATGAAAACTTTAAAAAGCTCAATGAGGTCACCAAGAAAACAAATGTAATAATGATGACTTTGACACAGACATGACATCACAAAGCACAACACTAAAATCCACCAAGCAAACAAATAATGGTCCATGCTAACAAAAAATTAATTAAAATTGCAGACCTTGGATTCATAGACAGAACATTTTAACGATTTTACTACCATGGTCTTTACCTTTCCATAAAAGGTATACATGCTCGTTCTGCACTCTCGCATCACTCATCTCTTCATTTCCCCCTTCCATGTCACAATCACACAAATTTGCCATTTCTGTCATTCTCTCCCCCCCCCCCCCCCCATCCGCCATGTCATTCTCTCGAGTAGCCTCTCATGCGCCTCGTCAACCTTCCCGAACCCATGCTTCCAATGTGGCTTCCACACCATCACATTACTTCGTACAATTTCAGGCAAACACGAAAGATGATGACGACGACACTCCTTGATCTTTAACAGTTAAGACATCCCACCCACGACAGACATTTTTAAAAAGTGTTGTCAATGTACTTCATTGCATTGCATTGATAATAAATATTCAATGCATTGATAATAAAATTGAGCATCTGGAGCATACTAGAAGAAACTTTTTATACATGTAGGAGTCATTACTAAACATGGTCTTAAATATTATGAAATTAATTTGATTAACTTTTCGAACTATGAAGTTTATGCATGTTCCTGTAGAGAATTCAATAAAAGTGGCAGAGTTGTAATAATTGTACAGAAAAATTTAATTACAAAATCAATAGATTAGATTAGAGGTATAAATATCAAAATGACTTTTGAAGTAGCTGTAGATGTAAGGACAATGGAAGGAAACTTAAAAATCATTGGCATTTACAGATCCCCAAATTCTAGTATTAATGACTTTCTCCTCAGATTTGTAGAACTGTTAACTGAATTCATTAGAAACCACAATTGTAAGTTAATTATTTTGGGAGATCTGAACATTAAAATTGAATATAATGATCTACATGATTTACTAGAGTGTTTTAATCTTCATGATGTGAAGTTAGGGCCAACACATTATAACCCATTCTTGTTCTACCATATAACACATCATTGCAAACATTGAAATGAGTAAATACTCTTCTCTTAATATTGATTTTCATCTATCTCATCACACTGCACAAATCATTGAAATAATCACTTGTCCCATTAGCCTTGAACAACCTAAATACACATTAACCCATGATACAAGTGAAGTCAAAATACATATTCTAAAAGAATGTCTCCTAAAAGAGAAACATACCGAAGTACTCAATGGTAATATCAACGAAAAATGGAACTTGTTCTTGAGTACATGGGAATGGTTTGAATATTGCATGTCCCATTATTAAAAGGCAAATTAATGTAATGAAGAAACCCAAAATTAAGCTTCTCAATGAAAATCTTGTTCTTAGAAATAATAAGAAAAACCTGTATGACCCATTCACAGAAACTAAGAATCCCTATCATAATAAGTACAAACTGTATAAAAAACAATATAGACTAAAACTGAATGAGAAAGCTTAACAATTAAATCTTGAAGTTAACAACTCAACAAACAAATCTAAATCTATGTGGAATGTAATTAACAGTGGGGAAACTCGTTCTCAAAAACATTTACCGATTGCATTAAGGCAAGAATAATTCTTCTGATATTTGTGTGTAATCTTTTTGATATTTTAACTATCATTTCTTAAATTCAAAGCAGGACACCGACACCAGTAAAACTAGTAACTGTTTATCTTCTGGAACTTCAAAATGTGTTTCTCTATTACACGAATGCTACTGAAGTTAATGAATTAATAAATTCCTTCCGAAAATAGTTGCTCATCCTGGATTAATATATCTACAATCGTTCTTAAAAAAAAGTTGGCCTGTTCTTAACATATTAGTTTATTTAATAAATTCATCTCCATCTCTATTCACTTGTCGAGAATCCCGAAAATTTAGTACTGTATTGTAAGAAAACTTGCTAAGTATAATACGCAAGATGTTAAGAATTACCGACATATAACCGTAATTTCAGTATTCGGCACTCTGTGGAAGAGTTATATTAGCGAGACTTAGTAAAACCCCACTTATGTTTTTCAGGGTTCTGAAGGGGGGGATTGTAAGAAAAATGCATAACTGAAATTGATTGAGCTAAATAAAAACTATATTTTTATACCATTTTACCGGTTCTTTAGCAATAACTACCTTTTAATTGCCACTCTTCCAAACAACTTTTAGATTTTTTATTTTATCTGATACTGAAACGGGTTGACTTTTCTAACCACGTTTTCGTTAAATATCTCGGACGCAAAGCCAGATTAATGATGGAACTATATTTTAAACACAGAGCCACAAATTACAATGCTGGTCGGCTTGGAAAAAATATCGCCGATCGAAAGTAGTCATTGGAGTCTTCCTCTGAGGTAAAGGTAGCGGACACGCAGTGGGAACCTTACCGATGACCTTACCGACGACCTTACCGACGACCTTACCGACGACCTTACCGACGACCTTACCGACGACCTTACCGACGACCTTGAGCGCCTGTTTCACTGCGGATACGAAGGCCTGTCCTGCGTGGGCTGCAACTGGCGGTGGCGACTCCCGGCTGGTTGCTTCGATTTCAAGCCCGATGTTACTTGAAATTCCGCGGGTCGAGTCGAAGCCAGTAGACTTCCAGATCGTTGTATTATTTCTTGGCTTGCTTTGATCGGCTTTCACTTTCTTTTTTCTTCTCTTGCCTCTTTCTTCTTTTGCTGCGGTGGTTTCAGCCATCCTTCATCTCCCTCCACCCCCACTTCCTGCTGTTCTGAGGCGTCACAGGTGACATTTGTTGACTCTGCAACAGCCTTGTTTTTCTTTCTTCCCTCTTCTAACGCCGTCTTCTGGTGGGCTGGGTGCCTCCCTCTTTTTTCCATTAAGCACGTGGTGGGTACTGTAATTTTTCTATGCTAGAGACCTCTTCCCATTTTACTAGGGATTGCATAACCTTTTGGAACTTTCTTCTCTTTTAGGGCATCTTGCCATCTGTATCTTAATGCTTCGATGTTACCCCGGGCTTTAGACATAGCTTAATTAACGCTTACCGAATTATTTTTTTGCATATACGTCACCATTGTCATGAGGTTTTCGTTTAGGCTATCAATGATAGTTGTCTGCTGTTCTTCCAGTTGTTGTATGGTCTTCCATTTATTCATCAAAACACTCGTTGAAATGATTTCTTCTGCTGGTCGTTTTGCTGTCTCAGGTCCTAGTCTCTCGCCCTGCCATCTCGTTCCGCAATCGTGCGTGTATTTCGCTCCCGCTGGTCGGTAGGTATCCCTGAAGTGGTTGGGGTTCTTAGAGGCGATCTCCGCAGCTTTGACCTCTCAGAAAAGGGGTTAAAACCTGCTTTCTCTAGGCTTTCGCTTGTCGCAGTATAGTATTTCAGAGACGCCAAGCGGTCCACGTCTCTGAGAGTGCAGTCGTTGGTTGACGACCTCCGGGGGCTTGCTTGCCCACCCCCGACTGCCGGTACTGGGGCTCCGATCCCCTGCACCGTAACGGTTGATCCTGAGGGACCTTTCTTTCATCGTGGGGTTTCTTTTCGGGGCCACCTTCCCCTAGCGTTTTAACGCTGCCGCCAGCGTCTGGATTTGGTCCACGGGTGGTGTTTTATTCCCCACCTGCCCTCCGGCGTGGCCGGTAAGAGCATTCCTCGATCCGCCACCTGGGGACGCGTCCGATAGGAGACCAGCCACTCCCACGGAAGCAGAAAATGCGCCTCGTTCAACGCCGAAATAAACAAGCAAAGTAAGCGACTAAATAAGGTTCCTACAAGTTACCCTAGGAAGGAGCAAAATCGCACAAGATCTACTTCTGCAAGTTGCAACTGAAAGAAACGTGGACTTGTTGATTGTTAGCGAACAACCTACAAAAACACGTACGTCATGTATCAGGATGCTACTAGAAGAGCCGACATAATAATACATAATAAGACGCTGAATATCAGGAACCAGAAGAGAACGAAATACGGTTTTGTATGGCTGGAAGAGGGTAATATGAGACTTCATAGCTGCTATTTAGCGCGAGATAAGATATTTAGGAGTGGAAATAGAGCATAGACTCAGCTTCGGGCCCCATATTAATGTGATGGCAGAGAAGGCGGCGAGGACAGGAGCTAACATCGCAAGAATGCTACCGAACGTCGGTGGACCGAGAGAAGCCAAGAGAAGGAATGATGTCTACTATAGTTCACTCATAGATGTTGTATGCTGCTCCAGTCTGGGCGGGTTCGCTGGAGAAGCTATCAGACACAAGTTCGCCCAAGTACAAAGACAAATGGCCTTGAGGGTGGCGTGTGCCTATCGCACAGTGTCTACTTGCGCAGTGCTGGTATTGGCCAGTACACCACCTGTCGACTTAATAGCCATGGAAAGAAAGAGGACGCACCTCGCCTTGAAGGGTGCACAAGCAGACCATTATCTCCCTCCCAAGCAACTTGAGGGTGTTGAAGCAGAAGCAAGGAAGTTGTTCCTTGAAGAATGGCAAGGAAGATGGAATGGGGATGTGAAAGCCAGATGGACTCGTCGGTTGATTACAAACATCGAGAGATGGGTTAGCCGAAGTTTTGGGGAGGTGGGTTATTACCTGTCTCAGGCTCTTACGGGACATGGGGCTTTTAATAAATACCTCTACGATTTCAGAATCGTAGAGAGGCCCACATGCAGTCTCTGTCATGCAGACATAGATGATGCAGAACACTCGCTATTCCAGTGCAAGGCATGGGACGTGGAACGAGAGGTTTGTAATGCCAACCTCCAACAAGTTATAAATCCAGACAATGGTCGACAAGATTCTGATATCGCAGGAGAAATGGAAAACCATAGAGAACTTCGTAGTTAGTATTATGAAGAAGAAAGAATTAAGACAGGAAGTAGAGCATCTACTACCAGCCAATCTCCTGCGTGAAGTAATGGCTAACGACTGTTTCCACGTGGGAGAGAATACGGTTTAAGAGACGGAGGTTAGGTTTTTAGATGGTCACCTAGTTGTGAGTCCGACATCACCAGCTTCATTGGTATCCATAAAGGATTTTCCTCCTCCTTAAATAATAATAATAATAATAATAATAATAATAATAATAATAATAATAATAATTTATTAGTTTTATTATTATTATTACTTTTCATGTTCATTACGAATCATCAAACATATTATTACAATCTCTTAAAAAACATAACTTAAATCACATTTTCAAATCTTGTCAACAACTTGTCTTAATGTTTTCTGATTGTTACATTTAATTTAAATTATTGTTCATGATTCTTGGAATTTATCATTAGTCATAGAAAATTTTCGAAATTCAAGCAATTGAATGAAATGATTAGTTGAATGACAATGTAAAAATTGACAGTAAATATTGATTTAAAAGATATACAAACACAGTTTGTACAAATGTTATAATAACAAGTAATGTTTCAAGATCACTTCGCCATATACTTGGGTTCCTGAAATTACAGACAGTAAGCAACTTTTCCATGAATTCATAATGTTATAAAATGTTAACCAAACATCAATGAAATGACAATAAGCTAGTAGAAAAGAATAGTTTTATAAAAGTTTGATTTGAGCATATGCTCGGTGGCAAATGTTATGATTGCAATTAAAAACCGATAAATTAATTAATTTCTAATTATCTTGAAATGAACATTTTGTCATGGTCCCGCAATGTATACCTTATCCAACACATCACTTTACTTCACTGTAATTCACTTCCTTTCAAATGATTTAAAAAAGCACATTTATTCAAATGCCAGTGCACAGAATAAATGTGTAGTACATGTGATGCGGAAAACTGAAATGGACCATATGTGGCAAAATTTCTAAATCAATTTTTGACATTATAAACAAGTGATTTCCTAACAATTTGGTGTAAAAATATGTGAAAATTGGGCGAAGTTATGGTAGTTTGAATGTATGTTATTGGAAGGAGTAGTTTTGAGAAAACACATTTAAACTTTCGTAATTTAAAAAAATCGCAATACTTTAAAAAATTAACATATTTAAAAAAGGAAATTAACTGACTTTTTGACATGTTCATTACAAAACTAAATACGATGAAAAAGAGAGAATTATTTTTAATAGAAATGATACTATAAAATATTTTCAACCCTAAGTAAACGGTTTAAATTAAGCGCGTGCAGTTGACAATATGGGAAGGGGCACGATCTGTGTTTGGCTTGGCACAATTTCTTCAAGGCCCTTCTATTATAACAAAATCAAAAATATTACCTGTGGCCTCATCTGTAGAAAGTATATTTCTCAGAACGGATGTGACTGATAAGTTAACTGAGGCTGGTTCATCGACATTTTCTTCAATGTTGGTTTCACTTAAACTGTCACTAACAGAGTAATTTCGTCGGTCATCAAAATGATCCTCAAAAACATAATAGTCCTTGCTGGCAACGTTGCAGGTTAGGTCTACATCTTTCAGAATCCACAATACTCTTATCTTCATTTATATTTTCTCTGTAACTAGTTGCAGGAATGGAGACTAGTAGTTAGCTGATCAGTTCAGTCACTGCATCATCGTTGTGATAGCGGTTTAGTGGCAGCATGTAGTGTATATGAATGCTGTGACTGTTTTTGACTGTTGTTACTCAATTTTATAGATTTTACAAACAATGTATTTCTGTTTATTTTAAAATAAAACTTCAAAACCTTTGTAAGTGAAGTTAGAACCATTTATGAGAGATTTTTTTTAGCGAATGTGTAAAAACTGAAGAAGTACTGTTGGATATGGCTCAATCAGTGCAGACAATGATCTTATTACTGCCATAATTCATTTTAATTCCATAAAATGCCTTTAGAAAGTTGTAAGAGTCTAATTGTGAGGCTACTCCATTTGTAAGGAAAAGGTACCATTCGTTGCTCCAATGCTAAAATTCCATAATAAAATTCTGTCTCTGTTCTTACCAATGACAAACCTTTACGAAAATACATTTTTAACATCAGTAAAGCATGTTAGTGGACATATTAATGCAAAATGCAGATAAAAGAAGTGTACTACAATAATAAACAATATAAAAGTGGCCAAAATCAACAGATTTTTTGTCTCGTGCAAAACTTTGTTTCATAACAACTAATCCCTTTTATTTTTCTGTATCACACGTATGAAACATAACCTTAAAAACAATAATATAAGCTGTAATAACAGCAATAACAATAGTATTAACAATTATCTATATTACGCATATTTTTAAATTTGACTATATTAGAAGGAAGAGCCTCTAGTGTTTTAATATATTAACACTTTATAACAGATAGTCATAACTTAACTCTATACAGTGACAGTAAAAAGTATGTGCACAATCATGCATTTTAAATAATTAATGTAAGAATTATACAATAATTAACATATTATCAATTAACCTTAAACATGGTATTAATCTAAGTTAGAGAGACCCCCCCCCCCAAAAAAAAATCCTCAGGTGATGAGACATCTGGTCTGATTGATCAGGGAATATCCATTTTGGTGAAAATTCCTGTGTGGTTTTGGTACTTGTGTTTTTCAGATGTAATGTTTTGATAGGGAAAAAATTGATATTAAGGACTGCCAAATTCTGTTTTGAAAATATTGCTTATAAGAGAAAGTAATATACTCTACAAAAGAGTGAAAATATTCATGTTTGAGGTGTTATGGACCTGCAACATAATACAATAATAATCTGTGATTAATCAATCATTTGCAGCATTCCAATACTTTCTTTATACCACATGTATAAGAAAATAAAAATTGTTTGTAATACTACTTACAACTCTAGAAATGTAAAAAATACCCCTTTTTTATGTTGCAATATGTATGTTCACTTCAATAATAGCCATGTGTATAGCCCGTCATTTCAAACAGTTGTTTCTTTATTGTTGCCTTCTTATTCCACCTCTCACCACCAAACCTACCTTACCACGACAACCAGTAAACAATAGGCGCACGTTTACGAAAAGTCTGCCATCAAAATCTCAACAGAAACACAGTTCAGCGGGCAAGACTAGAGCAACAAATGGCACTCTCTCTCACTCACGTAAAATTTTGATTCTAGCTCACAGCCATGGTAGAAACCTTTCCTCCATTGTGAGAGAGAAACTCCTCACAGTTCTCAATTACAGGTATTTTTAAACCTAATGCCACGATGGCTCATGTAATCGAGAACTTAAACGCTCAGACTAGATCTTTTACACAACAGGACATAGTAGTAATTATAGGTGGGCAGAATGATATTAATTCTAGCAGTCACTTTCATGCAGAGGAACATTTAACAAAAATACAAGAGACTGCCAAACACACAAATGTAATAATGACCACTCTCCCCCCCCCCCCCTGGCACAACAACATTCCTATAAACCATGAAATTAAGATTGCAAACCATCATATAAGACAGCACTTGAGAGGGACACCTATCACACTTGTTGATCTTGACAACCTTTCAAGAAAACATTTTACTCGGCATGGTCTCCACATGAACCAGATAGGAAAACAAAAACTAGGAGCCATGCTCATCTCGCACCTACTGGGAACCCCTGCCCCTGCTACCTCACATCCCTCTCCCACCCATTCTTCTTCCTCTCCATCCACAACCCACTTACACACTCCACATCTTTCACCATCATCCAGTCCTCTCTTACACCCACCAGTTCCTTCTCCTACTCCTACACCTCTTCTGCCCACTCCACTTCTTCCAACCACCTCTTCACCTTTCTTCTCCTCTTCACCTACTTCCACACTTCCTACTCCCCATCCCATCTGTACATATAACTTCCGCTGCATCCGAAAACCCACTCCTGTGTATAACCTGTAGCATCAAACATCAGCAGGAAAGCAGACAATACACAAAAATA